ACCTTAGACTCACCACTTGACCACTTGCCGACCTTCTAGAAGGACTAAAGCTGGGCTTCTGGACTCTACTTGGACTCCTACCCTACAGGTCTACAGTTCGAATCTYCCTWCRKCCTACAACCTACGGTGACCTACTTACCACTGGCTATCGTGCAGGTCACGGGTTCAACTCCAGGGAACTGTACAGATACTGTACACAGGTAAGCTGAGGTCAAGGGATCGACCCCTGGAATCTGCATCGGCTACTGCCAAAGGTGAAAACTGTTTCACATACATTATGGAAGAGAAAGGATCCTATGATGAAGGGCTGCTCGTCGAACTTTTCACTAAGTCATCATGAAGCTGCACGAAGAACAGTTTGTAGCACCTGCTATTCATTCCTGAAACAATGATGTGCTATACAAGTTTTTTTTTTCTTTTGTGCCCTGGCCGAGGCCTAGTAGGGGGAATGATAAGAGCACCTTCTTCTCCTTCTTCTTCTTCTTCTTCTTCTTCTTCTTCTTCTTCGTCATTTTTGAACAAAAAAAGCTAATTCTTTGAAGATTAACCAAGTATCGCTGCATCTGGGCTGAAAGTTGTGCCGAATGCAGCTATATAAGGACCGGACGTTCCATTGGGGGGTGACGACGATAGCTGCAGTATTCTATGAACGATTTTTTATAATCAGCCGGTCCTAAGAAATATCTGACTTCTCCCCCCCCGCGCCCCCCCCCCCCCCCCCCCTCCCCCCTCCTTCCCCCTTGAACATTTGCTTGCTGGCGATAAGCAACCGGACTGTCACCGCCCAGAATAGAGGGGGACTTGTCTTCTTCTTCTGTTTTAAATCAAACAGCCTGAGCTGATGCTAGGGGTCCTCATGGGAGAAGACACCTCTAGCATTCCCGCGGAGGCTCCATCTATTGGTGGGGGCTATTTGGGGCAATCAACTTTATTACTGCGTGGATGCGGAGGCTGGAAGTCTGACATAACTCTGTTGCTTTGTTTGGCATGTTCCCTTGGGCTGCTCAGCATACCTCAGATTTACCAAGACCTTGTGGGGCTGGTTGATGAGTGGGCTCTTCGCTTTTTCGAGGAGTTGGATTATGTTAAAGAAGGGCTGAGCGGCATCCGGTTCGCCGAGAGCATGAAACTGGACCTGCCACAGGTCAGTGGTCTGGCAATCTTTTTTCTTCTGTCTGGAAGCGCCAGGTCAGTAATCTACTGTGCCCACCTGATTACAACGTACGGTCATTATTGCTGTATCTAGACTCAAAGTTGCTCCAAGCACAGCTATAATGACCGTACGTCGTGTTCCGGTGAAGACAGTTGTGCATTCCCCGACGGGGCGAAAAAAGATGTAAATCGTCTGATTATGATCGTTCTGCACATCGCGGAGGGTGGGTGCAGCTCCCGCATGTTCCTCGTTGGAGGCTTGAGCACGGATGTGGCTGCTACGGGGTTCCCCGTAATACTATAATGACAATAATAAAGGCCTGAAAGGCCATCCTGTCCAGATTTGACAGGTAATTGAATTGGTTGGGCTTTAAAGAATTAGCCTTTAAAAAAAAAAAAAAGATGGTTTACCTACAAAGATTTGAGGAAGACTTAGGAGAAGTAACAAGTAGGAGTTGTGCTTGTCAAAAAAAAAAAGAAAAAAAGAAAAGGAGTTGTGTTTGTCTACGCATACCTCTTTGACAACTGAGAGGGTTGCGGATCAGGAAAGAGAGCATTCTTTCCTGATTCGGAAATTTTAAGAAAGGCTGTCAGAGAATCCACTAGGAAAAAAGGCTGAAATTTCAAATTAGAGAAGATTTTAGCGATGCGGCTCTCTCGCAGCTGCTCATCAAAGCTCAAAGTTACACGAGCCGGCAGTTTGTTTCTCGCAAAAGGAAACTTTTTTTTTTTTTTTTTTCCCTTGTTGAAACTTTAATATAATGTGTCAATTGGATTGGGGCTGCACTGTCCAGATAACTGTCTGGTCTATATAGATATATTTTAAATATATAAGCTCAACCATCAACTGTCTACATAAAGATTTTTTGAGAAATGTTGATTGAACTTGATTCCCCTCATGGAACGATTTCCCTCTCTTTTCTCTTGGGGGTCCTACTTTGCTTGCTCCCCAGAATGTATATGGAGCTAGGACCATGAGGCCCTGTTTTATTTAGCAAAAAAAGGATAGGTGGCCGAAATATGATTGCAAGGATCCTCCCCCGGTCACACCACACGTGACCTTTCGTCCCACCCAACCCCCCACCCTCCCATCCTCAGTACAAGGGGAAAGAAAGGAAAACAGAATAAGGGATGAAGAAAGGAAATGTTTGCTCCGGAATCAACTTTTGGTGGGTGGGTGGTGGTGGGGGGGGAGGGGGGGGGGAAAGAGCAGCAATTGAACAAACCCTCCACCTTTCCCTCTGCAGAAATTGTGCCCCCCCCCGGTTCCCCCTCTTCTTCCTCCCAGTGCATCACATCAAATTGTACACTACGGACACGAGTACATTGAACAACTTCAATGCAACTACAATCTTTTTCTTGTACGGTTGTATGGTGTACGAAAACGTTTTTTTTTTGGTGTACAATACTACAAAAATGTTTATTTTTTTTTATTTTATTAAGTTTCCTTTTTATCTCAAAATCTGTTGTGATTTTTTTCCTTTGTTTTTTTTTTGAACGATGCTGTGTTATTATCATGGTAACCGTCCGGTGTCTGGTCCTGATGTCCGGATGGAGGCCCCTGGGGCAAAAATCAGAAAGAAAAAAAGGGGGCGGCCCAGGACGTTTATCGGGTCCTGGCCACCCCTCGAAAAATAATGGGGTGATTTTTCAGTGTCATTTCACCCCACTGGACAGGGCCTAGAGGTCCGGACACAAGACACTGCAGGTTTTTGGGGTGGCGGGTTTCACACAGGCCCGAGCAATTTCAAGGCGCCCGCCGCTGCTGCGCGTTGGATGGAGAGAGAGAGAGAGAGAGAGAGAGAGAGAGAGAGAGAGAGAGAGAGAGAGAGAGAGAGAGAGAGAGAGAGAGAGAGAGAG